AAAATATGGTCTATTTGATTGTGTATCTTCCCATCAGGAGATGTCCAAGTGAATTTATGGATGTTACGATGTGGGAACATTGAACTTTTCACAGTAAGATTTTTTGATGTGGCAAAGTTTACTATTCTAACTCCATTATCATTACTAATTTCATGCAAACTCTCATTCCCAATTGTTGGTTTGAAACTTTGATATTGAAATATCGTAACAAAATTTTCATAGGGTACTTCGGGAATTTATCAAATACATGTTCTAGTTCTTCATAGAATCTATCCTTTATGTCATCAATTTTATCTTCTGTTGGGGCGTGAACATCCATAACAATGATATCACACCAGCGACCTTTTAGTATTATATATGATATCCTATCACTAACGAATTCTACCCTCTTAACTGCTGATACGATTCTCTTATGTACGAAAAAATCTGTACCTAATTCATGATTTTCATTCCCCTTTCCATAGAAAAATGTATAGTCTCCTGCTGGTGCGATGCCACCTCCATCCCATCTGACCTCCTGAACTCCCGCTAAATCTAACTTATATTTTAAGATTTCTTCTGCCACTGCCCTGAGTGAACCTGCCCTATACACACTCCGTACATTCCAAGTTCCAAATCTCATATCCATTTTCATTAGCTTAGGTCGTTTATCCAAGGAATCAGTCCAGGTCCGAGGCTTTGTGTTCATTTTCGTAACATAATGATTTTTTACGGTGAGGAGTTGTTAGCCCCACGCCCAACCCCCAAGCTGGAGGGCCACCCGTTGTCGGCTGTCCGCGACTGCTTATTCAATATATTCGCAGCTTCCCTCCAAAACTGGAGGGCGTCTCCTCCATCCGCAACCTGAGGACGCGCCATGCCGTGGTGACAGGGACCCACCTAACATGGATTTAGAAGTGACAGTCCAGGAAAAGCTGCCCAGCGGATGGGCACGTCCATTCATGAAAGTTGAGGGGTATTGTGATTAGTCATTCGTCTGCATTCAGTGCGAGAAGACGTCCCAAGAGGATTCTTCCTTGTACAGTCAAGTTAAAAAAGTTTTGACTCTTGGAGTCGTATTTGAGTGTATTATTCTCTAATTACTGTACTAATATTTTATTTTATTGTTTATTTTTATTCGTTGATTTTCTTTTTTGTTTATATTTGTACATTTTTTCTATCTCCTTTACCATTCCACCTACACGAAGTAAATTGAGTGGAAAAATGTTGCATTCACAATCAAGAGAAATTGTTAGTAATGAACATTGAGCAACAATTAATGGCACGGGAAGGCTTTTTGGATGCATGACGGGTGTTCGTCTTCCATGTTGGCGGTGATAGTGATGACAGTTCTGATGATAGCTCCGATTCATCTGGTGGTGACGAGGAAGGACAGGCATGTGGAGATGATATCTATGCGGACATTGCCGGTGTTGCCCCTTTAGAATAGACCTGTGTAAATAAACTCTTCATGTATATAACAGTGAAAAGTGTATAATAGTGTATAGTGCATAACAGTCTGCCATTCGACACTTAAAACTTAACATCGGATGTGTGAACATCAACGAGAATAAAGCACCATTACTATGCAACACAATGAGGTAAGACGTTATTTCCTTTTGAGAACGCCTGTACTGCATTCCCCGCCACGCTTGTCGGCACGCTGGAGCTCTCCCCGCCACTACCAATACTTCTCCTACTCCGCGTCGGCGGACTGTCACCTCTAAGTACTAGCACTCTACATGTGATTGGTGCACCTCTCAGCTGTCAATTCTAGTGAAAACACGATAGTTCACTTACTCGAATATCTGCTATCTACGTAAACAGTGATCACTCGGAAGGGTGCAATTGTTGTTAGGCCTAGTAAGTTGCTTGTCAACCTGCCTGCCCTCAATTATAAGCCAGTGCAGTGAATGAGGTTGTCAGTTAAGTATGGTCAGAGGTTTTGAATTTGCATTGCGGTGAAGTAAATAGTTGTGGTGTAGTTGTAAACAACATTCCCGACGGCATTTTTGCAGTTTGTTAAGATCACTTGAGGTCTGTTTATTCAATTATGCCGTTGAGTGAAGTTGACTTTTAGTGGGTCAGTAGCAATGAAAATCGGAATTACCTGACATTGTTTAGTGACAGTAAGAGTTCATACTAGGCCACAGACGGATATGACCTCCACGTTAGACTTTCTCCCCCTTGTTGATTTCGATGGATCGTCCACCAATTTAAATCAAATTCGTTAAAAATGAACATCAAAATGATTTCGTTATGCCCGAGGTATGAATTACGATATATGTTTCTTTCATGCAATGAAAATTTTGGAAAGAAAGACCATAAACAGCTCAAAAGGAGACCTTATAGAATTAATTGGTTTTGGAAGCAGTGAATATGAAACACGCATGATTTATAAGATGCGTGGATTATTTACTCGCAAATGTTAACTAAACTTTTATAAGGTACTCCGATGCAGTGGGGGTACGCGGTAGCGTAGTTGGTTGAGGCACTATGCTACAAACAGGGAGGTCACGGGTTCAAGTCCCGATGAGGTCATTGGATTTTTTCAATTGACCTAATCCTTCCGGCCGCACTATGGCCCTGGGGTTGACTCAGCCTCTAACAGAAATGAGTACCAGGAATCTTCCTGGGGGGTAAAAGGCGGCCGGTGCGTAAGGCTGACAACCTTACTGCCATCTTTGAGCCGAGTGTCTAGAAAATGTGGGACCCTCAACGTCTCATAACCCTATGGGCCTCCATGGCCTGTTACAGGGATAACTTTACTTTTACTTTTACTTACTCCGATGCAATGTTCTACATCTGAAGTGCGAAGAGCTCGGTAGGTTCGTGTTTATAGGCGAATGTGAACCTAATGAAATCTTTTGTTTTACTTACTTAATCCGTTTCTCTTGTAACCTACTACCGTGACGAGGTTGTCGTTTTTTCATTTTGATCGTTTTACAGACGGTAGAACTCCTTGGTCCAGTGGTCATCTCTTCGCAAGACCTCTACCTAAACACAGGACAACACAAACATAGAGAAACATATACTCATACCAAACATCCGTGCCTTGTGTGGGATCCGAACCCACGATCCCAGCTTCCGAGGGAGCGAAGACAGTAAATGCCTTAGACCGCCAGGCTACCGTGACCGGGCTTCTGTATTACAAGAGTTGAATTTCTGTCGAGCCTATCCTCCTACGCTGGCATTGGTCATCCTAGTGAGAGGAAGACAGCAAAATTATTTGCTGTTGCGTCTGAGAGAGACTGGATAAGGAAATTGCTGCTGCATACTGTGCAAAGGAAGTGGTAACTGATAAGAGAGCTACTCATACACTTTCAGTGAGGCGGATTGAAGATCCAGTTCATTGTGCATTGTGTGCGCTATCAGAAGATGAACGTTCCCTGCATTTTGTCTAGAAGCTAGAGACATCTCTACTTGTGAGGCTCATCATGGGCAGATTCGAATTTACACTCATTCTGACGTGAGTAGTTCTGTTCTCGTATCCTCACCATGTTTTCATTTCAATTATAATAAATGATTTTACAGTTCGACCGCCTCTGTTGTCTAGTGGTCAGAGTTCCTGGCTACAGCTCCAGAGGTCCGGGTTCGTTTCCCGGCGCTATTACATTTTCTGAGTAGTGGGTCTGGAACGGGGTCCACTCAGCCTCGTGAGGATAACTGAGGGGCTACTTGAATGGAAATACCGGCTTCGGTCTAGAAAACCGAAATTAATGGCCGTGGGGATTCGTTGGGCTGAACACGCGACGCCCTCTATCCTTTAAAGTTGGCACTAATTTCGCCGGCAAGCGGCGGTCGCTCGGTCGGTATAGTTCGCTTGAGGATTTGAAATCATGGATTTTGTTTGTTCATTTTACAGTTCTGTAACGTCACGTTTCTGTTACGAGACGCCAGAAGTGGAGCCTCAAAACAAGACGACTTCGTTAATCTGTAAAGACTTTCAGACGAGCCCTGCTAGCGTTTAAAATGTTCTCAGATTTGAGTTTCTCACGACGGTGACTGTCACAGTCTACTGGGATGTGACGTTATGTAGTTTGGTAGATATAATTACGTATAATACAAGAGAATTGTGAGGAACCATTTAAGGCGTAGTAGCAGAATGGATCAGCAACTACTACCTGAGCCAATACACATTTGCTTTGTGTTCAGTTGTGCACTACACAAGTACTCTAGTGGCCAATACTTTCCGAACTGATGCTATACATAGTAGCGTGATTGGTTAAGACAAATGCGTTTCTGATAGGTTGCTGTGGGGGCCCTGTGATTTATTCAGTTTGGTTCCAGACTATCTAGTTACTTACTCATGGAGCTGAGCCCTTCTGGAGGAGCCGCCAATTTTGCAGCTACTCAAGCATTTCCCAGAATTTTATGGAACCCATAGGTTCATTACTGTGTTCGCAAGAGCCCTCCACTGGTCCCTATCCTGAGCCAGATCATTCCAATCCATCCCATCCTATTTCTCTAAGATCCATATTAATGTTGTCCACCCACCTACGCCTTGGTATTCCCAGTGGTCTCCTTCCTTCTGGCTTTCCCTTAAATACGCATTCCTCGTCTGCCCCATTCGTACTACATGCCATTCCCACCTCATCGTCCTTGACTCGATCATTCTAATTATGCTTGGAGAAGAGTATAAGTTAAGAAGCTCCTCATTGTGCAGTTTTCTCCAACCCTCTGTCACTTCATCTCTCTTCAGTCCAAATATTTTCCTCAACATCCTGTTCTCAAACACCCTCAGTCTATATTCCCCCCTTAATGTCAGAGACCAAGTTTTACACCCATACAGAACCACAGGAAAAATTATAGTTTTGTACGGGGATGTTCTAATTTTTATGTTTTTGGACAGCAAATGAGAAGACAAAAGGTTTTGTTATGAATGGTAGCAAGCATTACCCGAATTCATTCTCCTCTTAATTTCCTCCTGAATCAGGTTTTGATTTGTTATAGTCGTTCCCAAATATCTTAACTGTGCCACATTTTCAAAACATGTGTTTCCTATCTTTATGTCATGACTTTGCTCTTCATTTTGGTGACGAGACAGCGACGTATACTTAGTTTTCTCTGTGTTTACTTCTAGACCAAACTCTTTACTTGTATCCTTTAAAGTTTGTGTGTTTTTCTTTATGGTATCTACATTATCACCCTGTAGATTCTGATCGGCATAGGCCAACAGCTGATGTGTCCCGTTTAGTTTCAGTCCCACCTGGTTTTCTTGGACCTTCGTAATGGCATATTCTAAATCAAAGTTGAAAAGGAGTGGCAATAAAGCATCTCCTCTTTTAGACCATTCTGTATAGGAAATTTGTGAGACAAATGTTTACCTACGCGGATTTTACTATACGTTTCGTTTAAACACATTTTAATCAACCTAACTAGTTTCATGGGTATCCCAAACTCTATCACAATATTGTACAATACTTCCCTCCTAACTGAATCATAGGCTTTCTTGAAGTCTATGAATAGCTGATGTACTGTCTCATCGTACTCCCATTTTTTCTCCAATATCTGACGAATGCAAAAGATCTGATCTGTAGTTGATCTGTAGCGTCGAAACCCACACCGATGATGCCCAGTAATTTCATCTAGACTATCTAGTTACCCTAATCTAATAGAGATGGCAGTAGGTATATACGCAGATGACGTCTGCGCATGTTTCCACTTCTCTTTCCCAGTTGAAACCCCCTGCACAACAGGTATGTATGTTTCCGCCCCTTCGACCCACACCCCATTTCGTCGCCACGCAAATGACAGGATTTGAGTTTCTACCAGTACCATGATTTTGGAGAAACCTGTTTCCTGCGTCTTCATATGAAGGTACCTGCATATCAAAGTGTGCAGTATACAAGCAAGGAAGACCGTAAGTGTAATGGTTAAACATTTGCTTCCAAAAATTTCTGTAGTCTGTATTTCTTCACACTTGCAGCAGTCCTGCCTGAGGAGTGATCTGTGACCATGGAATAATTGTACATCAGCTTTCTGGTGAGGTATCTCTGAGACCATTCCTGAACCACAGTGTTTTGATCTTACAGAAGGAGAGTTCATGCCGTCGTCCTTCGCGAGGCCTATTCTGATTTATTAGGCGGTCTTTAGACGGTAAAAGGAGCCGGGGTAGCTCAGTCGGTTTAGCTACTGGCTACTGGCTAGACGACCTAAAGGTCGGAGTTCGAGTCCCGGTAGGATCAAGAACTTTCTTTTCCCCACGTCGTCCAGACCGGCTCTGAGGTTCACCCAACCTCCTATCCAATGGGTACCTGAGTCTTTTTCCCCGAGGATAAAGCGGCCGGGGCGTGAAGCTGACCACTTCCATTTAGTGCCGAAGTGAAGAAAATGTAGATCTATATATTCATTCCCCCATGCGCCTTCATTGTGTAGTGCTTACTGAGTTAAGCACAGGGACAACTTTACCCTTTTTTATCTTTAGGCAGTAAAAAGGGACGCTTCTGCAGAATCTTAACCGTTTCGCATGGTTCGTCCGGATGTCTGGGGCTAGTCTGAGGTCCACAGCAAAGCGTAGTTTACGCAGGGCCATAAATTAACCTTCCCATAGTGGCTTATCCGATGAACCATTTTTGAGATTTCACCGAAATTCGATATGGATGACTTCCAGCAACAATTTCAGGGATATTCCGGGTTTCAGTCATGTTGCTTTATAGTCAAGCCTACTTTCCGTAAAACCACAATTTTCCGTGTACCCACACAGACACACTCATAGATTTTGTTGAAATTCTTTGTTGGAGACTTTTCACCAATCTTCATTTCAGCATTTAACCCTGGAGAGGGAGTGATGGTGCACAGGTGCGAAACATTAATTTGATGAAGAAATGCCTTTCGTTTCTTTGATATGCTTGTCCCTTTTGTTATTCCCTCGGTTGGCCTTGGTTTTCGAAGTGTGCGTTCGGTTATTGCAAGTAGCGTTACGGTTCTGAAAGTGTCACAATACAGCGATTTCTGACGCATCCGCGTATCGCGCTGTCTGGTAATGTAGCTAGAACTTTACTTTCTTCTATTTGTATCTACGAGCTCTTTGAAGGACTAACGAAAGGGCGAGTTTCGGAAATTTATTTTGTCATGAAATTCAGGGACTGCACCAAGATCAGACGAGAGAGAGAGAGAGAGAAAGAAAGGGTGAGGGAGGTTCATTGAAAGTGACACAATGTCTAAGGAAGATGATGTCTTCACACGCGGTGGCCATGGCTTTGAATCTGAGTAGAATATGAATATCAAAATATTGCCTCCCCCAGCAGAAGTTGAATTAGCAATTAGAATGAAATAAACACATGACTTTGATTTTCGTTATGACCACAGAAGAAAGTGGTGAGGAAAACGATGATGCATATTCACGGCGAAGGATTCAATGCTCCGTTCCATAAGGACATGCGTACATACAAAAGGAAGCACAAGAAATGAGATAATATCTTTGCTCAGGATCTTCGTCATGTCCTGTATCGATGAAGAAAGGAAACCACAGGATTGTTGTTGAAATCTGAAATGCTGTCAGAACGGCAAATTATAACAGATTTTTGCTCCTTCTGCAGCCATACTCACTCATCTACGCCCATTTGCAGCAAGTTGTAACCTCAACTATTGTATGAGTTCCTCACAATGTTACAAGAAAGCAGAACACTTTCGAGGCATTGTGTCCCGCAGCAGGATGTCCATAGGTTAAGTACGTGCTCCTGGGCTCATTTTGAAGTCGAAACATTTAAATAAACATGGGTCCGATCTGCAACGGTTTGTGAAGAAAATGAGAATGAACATTCTATTGAATTTTTAATTTTTACATAATTTTAGGTTATATTATTATTATTATTATTATTATTAGTAGTAGTAGTAGTAGTAGTGACCGCCTCTGTGGTCTAGTGGTCAGAGTTCCTGGCTACAGATTCAGAAGCCCCAGGTTCGATTCCCGGCGCTACCAGACTTTCTCAGAAGTATTGGGTCTGGAACGGGGTCCACTCAGTCTCATGAGGATAATTGAGAAGCTACTTGAATGTCAAAGTAGCAGCTCCGGTCTAGAAAACCGAAATTGAAGGCC